GTCAATAAATGGGACTGGGAATACTGGCTATCCAGAAGTAAAAAAAAGAGAAAGAAAGAAATTGAACCCTTCTCTTACACAAAATCAATTCAAGATGAATTAAAGACTTAAACATAGACCGGAAGTTATAAAACTCCTAGAAAAAAATGTAGGAGGACATATAGACATTGTTTTTGGCAATGATTTTTTGGATTTGACTCCCAAAGCATAAGAAACAAAGGAAAAGTAAACAAGTGGGACGACATCCAAGCCAGAGCTTCTGCAAAGGAAAGAAAACATAAAAAAAAAAAACAAAAAAAAAAAAGAAAGGGCAAACTACAAAATGGGGGAAAAAGGAAAGTATGTATGCAAACAGGAGTCATCCAAAATACGTAAAGAACCTATACACCTCAATTAAAAAAAACAGAACCTTTTTCTAAAAAATGAGCAGAGGACTTGCATGAACATTCTTCCAAAGAAGACATATAAATGGTCAAGAGAAATATGAAAAGAAGCTCCATATTACTAATCATTAATGAAATGCAAATCAAAACTTCAGTGAGATATCACTTCACAAGTATGAGAATGGCTATTGTCAAAATATCAAAAAGATAAGTGCTGGTGAGGATATAGGGAAAAGGGATCTTCACACACTATTGCTGGGAATGTAAACTGATTCAACCATTATGGAAAACAGCATAGAGTTTCCTCAGAAAATTAAAAATAGAACTAGCATATGATCCAGCAATCTCACTGTTGGCGTTTATTTACCTGTAGGAAGAAAATGTGTATCTTGAAAAGATACTGGCACTCCCATAATCATGGGAACATTATTTATAAGAGCAAGATAGGGAAAACAACCTAAGTTTTTGTTAATAGATGCGTGTATTAAAAATAATAATGTGGGAAATACACACGTACAATAGAGTGTTAAAAAAAAGAAGGAAGTTTTACCATTTGCCACAATTTGGATGAACCCAAAGGGCTTTAAGCTAAGTGAAATAAGCCAGATATGGAAAGACAAACTCTGCATAATCTCCCTTATATGTGAAGTCTTAGAAAGATAAAACTCTCAGTAATAGAGAGTAGAATGATGGTCACCATGGGCCAGAGAGCAGGAGAAAAGAGGAGATATTGGTCAAAGGGTATGAACTCTCAGTTATAAGATCGATAAGTACTGAAGGCCTAATGTTCAGTATGGTGACTATACAGTTAAGAATAATGTAGTGAACACCCGAACTTCTCTGAGAGTTGATCTCAGGTACTCTTACCACACACACAAGAAAGGGAGGTGTGTGAGAGGTTACATTTGCTAAACATCTTGATTGTCTTAGTCATTTCATCACATATAGATATATTAAAAAGTCACATTGCACATGACAAATATATATCTTTTTTGGGGCCAGGGCCAGGTTTGAATCCACCACCTCTGGCATATGGGACCGGCACCCTACTCCTTGAGCCATCAGTGCTGCCCCAAATATGTATCATTTTTTTGTCAGTCATATCTGAATAAAGCTGGTAACAAATCTCACAAAGTATGTCCTAACCCTGTATCCACTAGTGTGTGTATGTGTGTGTAGTCAAGTTGTTTGAATCTCATCTCTCAACCTCATCAGTAAAATGGAGTTTAAATACCGTAGCTGTGCAGTGTGACTGTTACCTGCACCGGTGCCAGCAAGGCCTTCGCTGGAGCGTCTGGCACAAGCCGCCCACCCAGCCATGTTGGGGAATGACAGCAGAAGGAGCATCAGGGTCTCTATGACACCCCGTGACCACCTGGCAGATTGTTCTCCTTTCTAAGTGGTTTTTGGTCTTCAGGCAGCCCCAGCTGGGCTTTCTCTGTCATAAGGCTGCCCTCGTGAGTGATAGGACTCCTACACTTTTGAGCCAAGTGTGTCCCAAATTCCACTTAATCTGAAAGTGAACAAAAATGCTTCGTTCCCATCCAAGTAGGAAAGTAACTCATCCCTGGTATGGGAAATTTGGATTACACAGGAAAGGATGAAGAAGGGAATAAGTCACCCGTAATCCTGCCAAAGATAGCCACTACTAACAATTTATGATATTTCCAATAGCTTTTCTGTGAAGTTTTCACACAACATTGATACCACATTATCCTTGTTTTTCTTTGTCCATCCTTTATTCACTTAACATTTGATTGTATGTATTTTCCCCCTGCTTAAAAATTCTTTATGGTCACGACTTTTACTGCGGGACAGCATTCCATCTTAGGCATAGACTTTTATACTTCGCTATTCCTTTACCATCAGACTATTTTTCAGTGGAACAAATAATAGTTAGATGAACACATTTGCGCCTGTATCTGCAATTTTTATCTTCTTCCTGGGATCAACTATTTAAATGAGAAACTGCATGCCCAAAAGGTAGGAACAATTTCAAAATGACTGGCCATCACTTCTCGGCCTTTTGGCTAAGATCAAGTGTAAAATGACTGGCCTATATTGCCAAGGAGCTCTCCACAAAGGTTGTTCCAATATAAATTCCACCAAAAGGAAGGTACTGATAAGTGTGTTTATCTTACCCCCTCCTCCAATCCCCACTCCCTCAAAGTTTTAAAAAGTTACCTCCACTAAAGCACAAGAGAGGTACTGATTGATCTTTGAGCTCGAGCTGCCCGGGTTCATTCGGACCTGGAGAAATAGGCTCAAGGTCCTGCAGCTCACCAGGATTAATCACGGGCTCAGGTCTCCTTGAGAAGACACAGTAGGGAAAATCATCAGATGTGGGAGGGAGCAAATGCACCTGGAACAGAAGCAAAATGAGTGTTTTTCCTGAGCTTTCAAACAATGTTAAATGTGTGGCTTATCCAAATATGACCTTCTCCCACACAACAATGGATCACAATATTATACTCCCATTTTCAAGTTAATGCTTCAAATTCCGTGCTTTGAAACTGCCTTTCACATGCATGAAGCTGCTGGTGGTGTAGAAAGCAAATTAGTCTCTCGAATGGTTTTATTAAGACGTATTACGAAAGTGGAACTGCAACAAAGCAGGCCGAAGAACCGGCTCGTGGTTTTATTTTTCTACCACGATCAATAGTGTTTGGTCTGTTTAATGTCACACACACTGCAGAGCCTGAGCCTTCCTCAGCTAAGAGGTATATCTTTTGAGAGCCATTTAACTTTAAAGAAAGAGAAAGTTAAAACTTTTTGTTCAAAATTCAATTCGATGGTGCAGAAATATACTTCTCGTGGTTATATTAGAGTGCTTCCACCTAACAGAATTCCTCCCCTGTGATGACTATAACGGCAAACAGGTTTGTTAACAGAATCCGTGGGGAGTGTTACCAACCCAACACTGAGCCGTTCCGAATCTGTGCAGGCCCCCAGAACTGAGAAGGAAACAAATATTGGGGGAAAAACTGAAGGGATTCTGCACACCCGCCACAAAGCCAGAAATGCATCAGACCTGTTTTGTTCAGAAATTTTTGACTTTTTAAGACTAAATTCTCAAATCAATGGTGGCAGATGCATTTTTAGAAACAGTCAAGAGCGGATAGCAGAATAAATTATTCTAATTCTTGGCCGGTGCCTGTGGCTCAAGTGGCTAAGGCACCAGCCACATACACCTAAGGTGGCGAGTTCGAATCCAGCCCGGGCCGCCAAACAACAATGACGGCTGCAACCTCCCAGCTACTTGGGAGGCTGAGGCAGGAGACTCGCTTGAGCCCAGGAGTTGGAGGTTGCTGTGAGCTGTGGTGCCACAGCACTCTGCCCAGGGGGATAGCTTGAGGCTCTGTCTCAAAAAAAAAAAAAATTATTCTAATTCTTAGTCCAATGTCTTGGGCAACTTTAAATTCGCTCCTGGACACCAGTCAGCCTCTCTTTCTTCCACTTCCCCGACACATGTCCACAAGAGCAGCAGCTTCTCACACGGCACTAAGCACTGTTCCGTTAATATTGGGCGCTTGATGGGTTGATGGTTCCAATTTCTAAAGCATTGTATGATGTTTCTAATTCTCTAGGTTTTCTCATTTTAGTCCATATGGTCTTAATTCCCATGAACAATAAGTATCAGTTAAAAGGGACGAAAGCTCATTCAGTCATTTCCCTTCCGTTTTAATGAAATAGAAAAATACACCTGAGTCAGCCATTCCCTGTTTATTTACTGTTAGTTTATCTTTTAATTTTCATTTTCTTAATTTTATTTCTGATAAAAGATGATGATAACATTTCAGTTATAATTTGCTGCCAATTCTCGTACCAGAAAAGAGAGAGGAATGAAATTACCCTCAGCAAAGGAAGATTTCAGTCTCTGAATCAAAAACTTAAACGTATGAAACAGACTTTGGGTCTTCATCAGTTCTTTAAAACCAAAATCATATTTCAGCAAAACTAGCCAATTAACATTTTACTCCTTAATCAACAAACATTAATGCTAAACCATAATATGAAACCCACAGGAAAAATACACATCTACACAAGCAGGTCCAAAGAAATTGGGTTCTTTGGAGGAAGAAAAATGTCTCCTTCAGGGCAGAGAATCTGTTATTCTATGCAGCTTTCAGAAAGAAGGTCACACATTTTCTTATTGATTTTACTTCCTATTTGGTAGCAAAATAATGTGAGAAGAGGCAGTGAACGTTCCTGGCGACAAACTCAGATGTTAAAAAATATGTGTCAGGATAATTTCCGAGCTCCCTCTTTTTCCCAGAGAGTTTATGGCACATGAGCTACATCGGGGACACACCAGCTGGGTTCACTTTTAGGAGGAAGTTTTCTGGCTGCCCAGCACACACTTTCTGGCCAGCCGGAGTCCAGGTCTGTGTGCAGAATCCCCTAGCAGTACCTACCACTGCCCAGCTGGGGGCTCCAGCCAATGGCTCTGAGGTGGAAGCCACTCCCCCATTAGGCCTTGTTTGACAAAGAGACACAAAGAGATAAGGGAAAGGGTTGCTTCATTCTTGTGAAGCTCAATGGCGTGGAGGAGGGATTTTTGAAGAAGCAGAGTGATTAAATTGATCTGAAAGGATTTTGAATGTCCCTGTTTCTCAGGCAACATCAGAAACACCGAGAAGCTGAGCTACGACAAGCAGCACCAATATGAGATCCTGGTGACGGCCTATGACTGTGGACAGAAGCCCGCTGCTCAGGACACCCTGGTGCAGGTGGACGTGAAGCCAGTTTGCAAGCCTGGCTGGCAAGGTGGGCCTGATTTTATCAATCTTGCTCTATGAACGCAGCTTGGCCTGGTCTATAGAAGGTGCTGGATTTGTCCTCAAATCTTTACAACACGTAACTAGAGGACTGTTCAGTGCCACCACTTCACTGCAAGAAATAGAGTAGCTTGTTTGTTCTCCCACCTCTAACGTGGCGTATTAGCCCCATTTTACAGTTGAAAATGTCAGGGGTATCTCATCTAATGTTACGTGCTCAGTGTGTCCAGAGCTCCCTTTTTCAAATCTATGACATCTTTGAATCAATAGTAATTATCTCACAGCACTTCAGGAGAAATTGCCAGCAAGCCTATTCACTCCAGCCGAGGGTGCCGGGAACAGCTGATGCATTTCAAGTTTTGCATCACTGCTCAACACCTGCCGAAGGTCACCGTGTTGCTGTGCTCACACAGAGTGCATGTAGGCCCGAGTCCTCAAACTACAGCCCTCAGGCCACATGCAGCCCACCTAGGACATTTATCTGGCCCACTGGGTGTTTTTGCCGCCACTGCCTGTCTTGCTTAGCAGCCGACTCATCCCGGGGCCCACAGTCCGGCCCTCCAATGGTCTGAGGGACAGTGAACTGGCCCCCTATTTAAAAAGTTTGAGGACCCCTGGTAGGCAATGGTGGGAGGGCCAGGATCCAGCTTCCAGAACAGGGGTTTCTAAACTGTTGGCTCAGGGAATGAAGAAGCAATGGCTGAGGAGAGAGGTGAGGTTTTGGGTCAGTTTAGACTTTTAGGATGCAAAGATAGCAAATGTTTAGGTCTCCTTGAGATGTGGGGTTTATCACTGAGCTCGGAGGAACCAAGGAAAGCAGGTTCCTGCTGAAGCGATGGGTCTCACAGGGAATCGAGTGGTTCACGAAATAATAGCATCAATAGGTCTGTGACCGAGCAGAGATCAAGAGTTATCTCTGGGCCACCTTTCTGGTTGCCCAACTCTTCCTTCTTTCTAATTCACGTGTTGAAGACGCTGCAGGCTGCTGCTAACTTGTAACTCATGGTGCTTCGTGGGGTCATCTCCTTTGTGCCTTCAGCTGCTTTCTTTTCGTATTTGTTTCTCTCTTTCTCTCTCTCTCATTTTATTCTTAAATTCCCTCAGAGAGAGTCTGTGTTAGTCACCCATACCCCAATTGGGTGGACTGATGCCAGGCTACACTATAGGTCCCTAGCTAGACTTTGTTTTGTTTGTTTTGAGACAGAATCTTACTTTGTCACCCTGGATACAGTACTGTGGCATCATAGCTCACAGCAACCTTAATCTCTTGGCCTTGAGCAATCCTCTTGCCTCAACCTCCCAGAGAACTGAGACTATAGGCACCAGCTACAATGCTGACTAATTTTTCTATTTTTAGTAAAGGCAGGGGTCATGCTCTTGCTTACCCTGGTCTCGAACTCTTGAGCTCAAGCAATCCACCCACCTCGGGATCACAGGGGTGGGCCACTATGCTCAGCCAACCTGGCCAGACTTTGAATGGGGCCTTCTGTCAGGCATTCATTCCCAGTCCAGGGCAGACTAGTGGGACCTCATGGCACAAAGTAAGGACACCTGTGCCTGTGAAGCTACCTGGGATTACTCCCTTCAGAAGGCAGCTCTCAAAATACTCCTCCCCTACACAACATGACCTCCCGGTAAACTTTAGGAAGACGGGAAGCGGGGAGTAATTTAATCCTCTCTGGAGGAAGTCAGAGTTGCTTGCCTTTGAACAAAGTAGGAAAGATGGAATGCTCAGTAGGGGAACCAGGTAAGATGTGAGAGAGAGAAAGAACAACACAGGGTCGTCTTGTGTCAGTCTGTTTAGGGCCAAGCAAAAAGCAGAGAAAGGACAAACCAAAGTGGGAAGCTGTTGTCCCACCTCCCGAGATCCCGAGTTCTGGTTGGATATGATTCACCATAGCCAAAGACCTGAGGGTAGGATTCTGTCTTACTCACCGCTTAGCACAGTTTTGGGCCCCAGTGTTGCATGCTCAGGAAGTAATTATTGAATGAATAAATGAATGAAAGAACATCTGCGTAAAGAAGAATGCACCTTGTTTTGTTTTTAACTAGTAAGGATTAGCCCCAATGAAGATGTGCCCTTGGCAGAGAAAAGCCTGGAAAGGATTTATAAGCTTTCTCCGTGTGGAATCTGCTCAGAATGCGATTTTAAGTGGGAAAAGCAAAATACAAAGCCATCTCTAAAAAATAGTCCCCGTGTTCTTTTTGTCTTTGACAAATGAGGCACCTAAAGATCTGTGATTACATTTTTATTTCTACATTTAAATGTAATTTTCAAACAGAATTTGTGCTTGTTAAATGTATGCAAAGGGAAACTC